GCATATCGAGAGAGCTTTGGCATGGCAACTGTGGAGGAGGGATGAGCAGAAGATGGTGATAATACGGGCTTCAGCTTTTGGTGTCAGGAGAACAACCACCCAGTGATCTGTATCTTGTTTGGGTGGAAATATGGTGTTAATTATCTTCATGACAGACAGATGTGGCAATTCATTTCAGCTGCTTTAGATCATACATTCCTCTGGCTGGTAGACCTCCAGAAAACAGAGAAATAGATCTTGGGGGTGAAGGAAGGAATGCCATAACAAGGACAGATGTCACTGTGAAATTTTAGTGTTGGGTTCTGCAGGGACTGAGGTTGAGATATCATCAGTGTGATATTTTTATTCTTCCGGTCTGTTCAGCTGAGCCCGTGTCATGTAAATGCAAACTTCCTCTTAAATTCGGAGGCTAAAAGGCACACCAATTGATTGGTGTTACTGCTGATTATGAATAGCCCCTGCTGATTCTCCAGCCTCTCTGCTTGTTCATATTTGTAGGAACCTTCAGACTAAGAAGTGTCTTTCCTTTCCTTCAGCTACTCCTCATCTGGGGTTTCTGACAAGTCACTGCCCATGTGCCCTTCTGACTGGAGACCAGAAACAAATGGCAAATGCATCACTAAATGCACACGAACTGCTAAAAGCCCATGGACAATGAAACCTGAAGGGCCCACAAGCAGGGGCACAGGTGCCCTCCATCCCAAGGATGGCAGTTTCTCAGTCATTCTGCAATCATTCCAAGAAGCCAGAGTGAGATCTGCATTCTGTCTTAGCTGTTAAACAGAGGTAAAACCCAGTAAGTGGCATAGAGTTTACAAGCTCAGCACTGAATGGAAGCCTTGATTCTAACAAAATAGCAAAATGTTAAAATATTATACCTACTTGGACAACTGTTGTCTACACAGATGATAGACAACCCCCTCCAACTATTACTGAACAACAGAAAAGGTTTAAACACAGAATGTAAGTGCAAAATAGCCAAAACTGAGAGGAAAAAGCTATTCCCTATATGAGAAAAAGCAAGTTTCTCTCTCAGTCTCTCTTTTTTAAAGGATGAATGCAGGATCTCTGTGTGTCACCTCAGTACTAAAGCTCTAGTAGGAATGGCTCAGAATAACATATTACAGCACTGCAAACTTGCTTCTCAGTGAGGCTCACCTCTGCAAACCCAAAACTCATACCAGGGCTTCATGCTGGGATTCTTTCTGAGGTTATTTCAGTCAATGCCTTTGTCTTGAAAAAAAACTCCTACAGCTTAACACCACAAAGACAATCCAATCCATCGCCGTCCACCACACTTTAAGGTTTCTTACAAAGTCTGTGGCAGAAAAGTTGGGAAAATTTCCGATTCTTTGAAACTTTTTAAGTTATTCTGACAACTTTTCGAAATTGACCTCAGTGTCTCTCAGCTTGGTCAGCAAGAGGGGAGTGCACAGATCTCACCAGCACATCCAGCTCCTCATCAATCACAAATTTGGCTACTAAGACTGCCATGGGGCTTGCTCAGCCCAGACTGGCCTGGTGGGACTGACACCTAACTGCTTGTGACATCACCCAGAGAGCCTCTTACTGTGGGTACTCACTTTTCACTGAGCTCTTAAAAAAGTCAGTGGTTAGCACAAATGAACCCAAGAGCAATGATTACTTTCCAACAGCAACTACATGAGCGTAAAAATGCCCCAGTAACTGTGAATGGAGGCCAGAGCAATCACCATGATCACCACTGTGATCATGTCACACACTGTTTCTAGAGAACAGCCAGAGTAGAACACTCTACATATGAGCACAACCCACATTTGGATTAAACTGTGAGCTGAGACTTTGAGACTTGCAGATGAGGCTCCTTCCTTATCACTCGCTGTGGTGTGAAGACTCAGCAGTTCTGTGCTGCACCTGGCCTGACCTCTTTTTTTCCCCCACTGATTTATTTAGCTTTCTCCTCTCTTCCTAGGCTCTGACTCTCATCTTGTATCACAGATACCAGCAATTCTGGCAGATTCTACTCAGTGGAATTGAGTGTATCCGGTCTGGTTTCTGTAAGGTCCTGTCCCTTAGAAATGGATGTTTAAGCCTTGGCTTGAGCCAAGAGCTGAGATTAAAATTCAGCTTGAGAACAGAAGGTCTGGCATTATTTTGCCTTTCTTAATAAAATGTTTCCACTGTTCTAGTTATTTACTCTCCTCTGTGGAGCACCCAGTGCTGACTAGGCAAGGGCTATCCATTAAAGGCTGTCTCTCCTCTCAGCTTAAAAGGAAGTTCCCTCTCTTTGACGGGAAGAAGGTAAGAGAAATTAATTTTTCTTTCAGCATCGCCACACCTGGGGAAAGGATCTTGCTCACAGATAACAGTGCAAGCAAATATTTTCTTTGGGAGAAAAAGAGAAAGTGAAGATCAAGGTCAGAGGAGGCAAGAGTGAAGATATGAGACTGCCTTCAAAATAACCTTCCACAGAACATGTGGGGGTGTCGTTTTATTTAATATGGAAAACATGCAAAAGCACAAAGGAGGGGCAACTGGCTTGGGGTTCACAGAGAGATAAAGGGGCTGCAAAGTCTGGCTGCACAGATATGCTGAATTCCAGCAGTACAGGATGAGACAAACAGGGTGATGTGAACAGGTTGAGAGAGACTCCCTTTACCTCTACACATTTATATAAGTAGGAGCATGGCCCAACACCTCTGTCCCTGATTTTCCTGAAGCATCTTCCCTTCCTTCCTGCTTAGGGACTCATAAGACTGTGGCTACTCTTTGCCATATGAAAATTCATATTGCTTTTGTCTCTACCAGATAACCACAAGCCCCTGCAGAGGTTCAGTGAATTTGCTGCATCTCAAGGTATGGGCCCAGCAGCAGCCTCCAAATCTGCAGAGCCCCCCCATCCCCAGGGGATCCAGATGAGTGCTGTGCACTGTGTGTATTATGATAAAAACATCATCTCACTTCTCAACATTTCAAAACACATGCAGAAGTCTTGATCACAAAATCACAACATAGTCTGGGTTGGAAGGAAACTTAAAGATCATCTTGTTCCACCATGGGCAGGGACACCTTCCCCTAGTCCAGGTTGCTCCAAGCCCCGTCCAGCCTGGCCTTGGACACTTCCAGGGATGGGGCAGCCACAGCTTTTTGGGAAACCTTTGCCAGGGCCTCCCCACCCCCACAGTAAATCAGCCAAAACAACCTCAAACCCAGCTACAAGTGCTTAAGAATCTGCATATTTGCCTCCTCACCCAGTGACTGAAACTCAACTTTCCGTGTGTCCTGTCAAAGCTCACTGGCAGGATTTTCCCTGTAGTCCCTGGTAAGACACAAAGGAGCTGAGCCCATCAAGACTAGAGGCTTTTGCTGGGATTTGCTTGGGAGTTTGGTTGTGCCAGCTTCCATAAGCATCCATTTCTCTCTACTGATCTCAGGTGGAGCCCAGAAAGATTAGCTTAAAAGTTCTATCTGATTTTTAGCAGACAGGTACTGTTACCCTATGGCACTTATTCAATGACCCCCAGGAAAACTGTCATTAATCCCTGGCTACTGATATAATTCTTAGAACATTCTCTCACTTCAGCTAGAAGTGCCCCACAAAATCATAGTAAAAGACAAAGAAATAGAACTCAGAATACTAAGTTATGTTTTGGTTTGTTTTTTTTTTTTTTTCTTTCCCATTGTGTTATGAAGTCAAAACTGGGCCTGTTTCTGTGGGAACTTGTGCTAAGGTATGCAAATATTTCAAACCAAAGCAGTCCCATTTTCCAGTGGGGGTGGGCCAGGTTTCAGGCAAAGATGCTTTCACAGCAAAACCTTGGGAAAATTCACCGTTTTCCACATTTCCAATATGCCAATATTCATCTCATGCTGAGTGCCAGCAATTGTTTGAACAAGGCTACAACCCAAGAAAGCACTTAAGCACATGCTTAACTTTCAGCACATGAGTAATCTCAGTGATGTCCTGGGTTTTTGTTAGATTCATTACTGTTAGTTACCTTGAGTTTTTAAATCCATAGGGACAATTTGCATCTTCTGAGCTGTATAATTGGGCTGTGAAAGGGATGGGAGCTCATGATTACTGAATTGTTAATTAATCATTTTTATTATATTTAAATATGCTTTAGAAGACCATAATGATGTATGCTTCCTTGATATTAGCTGTACTAATTAGATCATCTTTTCTAAATTAGAGTGCAGTTTTCTTAGCAGGTTTCCTTTTATCTGGTGTTCATTTTTCAAATGAGCTTCATGTTGTTCCCACAGATGAATGAATCACTTCCAGGGAATCATGTTATGCCAAAGATGTTTTTCTTACTGTAGAATGCCTATGGGGAGATCGTAGATCTCCTTGAAATTAGTAAATATTTTGAAGTTGGGCTTTCCTCAACAATCATGCATTCTTTGACTAGATGAGTGTAACTGTGTCTGGGATGAAACTCAGTTCCTACAACAAACCAGTGCATTTGGCATGTTTACCAAGTCAGAACAATCTCACACCAACACAACTCGAAAATAGAAAACAGAAGTGGTTGAAACACATTTATATACCTGAACATGCAAGTGTATTTCTTTGCACTCTTCCTTTAGCAGATAATTAGTGCTTTGGCATCGAAAGCCCTGCTCTCTCCTTCTCCACCAAAATATTACTTTCAAAAGATTCCCTGGGAAATGATGACCATGTCACTCCAGAGGTCCTCAGTTAGGTTAGCCTAAATATTAAATTTATCATTGTAATATCCTTTCTGGTTAAGGAAAACCTGAATTATACATCTCTGCACAACTAGTCCAGAAATTTTTCAAAAACTATCCATGAAATCTCAAGCTATTCACTCAAGCATGATGCTCCTGGTTTCAGAGAGAAACCATGAGAACATCCTGTTTTGGTAATTCGTGGCATGTCTGTCTAGCTCAACATCCTCACAATCACTTGGAATGCTGGACATTACCAGGATGGGAAGAAAAGAGCACTGTTTTGATCTGAACAAGGTGATCCAGCTCTCTGGAAAGCAGTTACTCACGTGTCAACAAATCTCCTGCTGAGGTTTGAGATGACAACTGGAGATCCAGACTGGAAAGGAGGGTCCCGAACGACTTTGTACTGGATGGGTTTGCAGTCTGCACACAGCGTGCTGTGAGGGACAGAGCTCAGCATGGCAGCATCGATCTCCAGGTGCTCATCCAGGGTGTAGATCTGGATTCCATACACCTCCTCACCCACTCGTCCCGCATCCAGCTTTATGGTGAGTGGGATGTCACAGAAGACGTTCTGCGGCCCGAGGGAAATGTTCTTGCCGCTGACGGTGAGCAACTTGATGTCATTCACTGCTCCACTGGAGTCCCAGTCCGGGGAAACAAATGTCACCCAGACTGTGAGGGACTCTGGAGTCAGGGGATAACGGAACTCCAGCTGCAGGTAGCAGCCCTGGGGCTCGGGACAGGCTGGGGGCACTGTGTGTTGGTTGACTGCCGAGTTGGGGCTCCATGTCCTGACGCTGGATTTACAAGGCTGCTCCACGTCAGGGTGCCCTGGGAAGAAAGGAGGAAGCAGAGAGAGGGCAAAAAAGAAGTTAAAGATTATGGGTTATCACTGGCATCGGTTTTAAAAGACAGACTGGTGGCAGGAGAGCATATCTGTCCAGGAAGATGATTATTTACTTGAGCAGATCAGGCATGGCCAGCGTGGGGAAGAGCATAACACCTCTCCTGGCCAGCTGAGAGACACAAACCCAGCTTAACTGCCCAGCTGGAGAAGACACTACACAACACACACTGCCAGGGCATTTGGTCCTGAATTTCCTATTTCTAGTGTCTTTCCCTGTGCCAAACAATGATATTTTCCACCCCTTCCACTTGGTAATTTACCTGATAAACAGAGTCACTTTGCCTTCAGTTCACCTCCTACTATTCCCTTGACTCTCACTCTAAAATACAATCCTTTCCTCTTTAACAAAGACAAGAATAGAGCTTTTGTTGGTTCCAAGAAGCTGTTGCACTGTGCTGTTCAGGGGCAACTCCTGTGACATTTACACACTGGTTTTTGGAGGCACAAGGAGCACAGGTCTGAGCTGTCTCTTTGAGCTTGTTGTGATGAAACAACAAGCACTTGTACTTTTACGTTTCTCACCGGTGGCTGTGTTCAACTACATGGGAGGTAGTGCTAAGAACTAATGAAAGCCACAATGCTTGCTGGGTTCCCAAATACTATGGTAACATTACAATTTGGCATGGAGTCATGGACTGCAAGATCCAGAGAGGTCAGATGGGTGGAACAGTTGGTAACAGAATCCAGTGAGAGCTATAAATACCCTATTCCTTCCCAAATAATCACACAAAAAGGGAGCAAGCATAACAGGGAGGAGGAAAATACAGAAAAGAAGGAAGGGAAAAGTAAAGATAAAGAAAGGTAAGGAGAGGAGAGAAATGGAGAAGGCAGAGGGAAAAAAAAAAGGAGAGCACAGCTGTTTGCAGCTGAGGAAGAAAGCAAGATAAAACACTGGGCAAACATGGACAAACAGGACATCACTACTAATTTAAAGAGAAAAGGGCAATGTGTGAAGGTTATTCTTATTGTCTGTGATCCAATGAAGTGTTAGAAATGCACCTCTTTTGTCAAGGATAAACAGCTCAGGGAGTTCTCCTGTTCCTACCAAATGAACCCAGATGCAGAATAGATTTCCTGGCATCTCAGGCAATCCTCCTGTGATCCAACACAACTGCCCTGCAGATGCCCAACTTTTAATGCTTCTCCCTCACTCGCACACACCCACAGCCCTCCTCCTTCCTCATGTGGCACAGAGTGGTGGGAATGCCACTGAGCTCAGCGTCTGAGGGACCACAGCAGTGATACAAGTTGAAGAAAGCCAGAGGTCCATTTAGCACGCTCGAGTTTTACCCCTTGGCAAGCTCCCGAGCCCTGTGTATCATCACTCTGAGCAGCCAGTGCCCCACTCAGCTCCCGTTATCCCCCATCGCTCCTGCCCGCGCGGGCTCGGCTGAGCCCTCCCGTGACTTTCTCCCAGACTCGCAGCAAACTCCTGACTGCAGCCCTGAGAAGGCGTTTTTTAAACTCCAGTATCTCGGAAGGCTTTGGAAAGGTCTGTGAATCTCTCCACTGCCATCTCACAGAGAGGAAAATGGAGTTAATGGCTCACAGCCCGGTACAAAAGTGGTGCCCGCTTGGGATCCTGCAAATTCACCTCTGGCAGTTCAAGGGCTCTGTTAAGACGTAAAAACCAAACAAACCTACATGTTTGGTGTGATCTCTGGAGATACAAGAATTGGACTCAGCCTCCAGGGAGCTTAGAGCAAATCATTACCCCAAAATGGGAGCCAGATTGCATTCATTCATACACTGAAAACCTCAGTGAAGCTGAGATAAAGAGGCTCTTTCTTAAATAGCATCAAACACTTTAGAACTGGGTAAGAAACATTCATTTAATTGTAGAAGAGGATGAAAATCCTATTTCATGCAACTGGATTTCTAGAGACGGGTAAGGACTCTCAAAATTACAAATATTTGTATACGAGAAGAAATGGTGTAGAATTTATTCTTTCCCTCTGCACTCAGGTTCTGAAAATCCTTTGGCTTATGAGATAATCAGCTAGATCAGTCATAGAACCATCATGTCTTGCCTGACACAAAACAGGCATGTGAGGTTTGTGAGGATAAGCCAAACCCCACCTCCTGGTTAGAGAGCAGGGGTGGCAGGCTGGGAGTTCCCCAGAACATTGTCCCCAGCCACAGCCTGGTGTGTCAACCCTTCATCATGCAGTTAACTACAGTGGCTGGGATAAAAGTCCTGGCATTGTTCTGGCACATGGACAGAGCCTGAGAGGCCAGCTGGAATCAGCAGTGGCTCAGGACGTAGCTGCTGTCACAACTGCAACTCACCTGCCACATTTTAGGTGGTCAAGACAAAGGAACCATCCTGTGAGACTCCAATGTCCAGCTGAGACATTTCCCCTTGTAAATGAAGAATGAATGGGTCTCAAGTGAAATAATGGCCCCTGGGAAAGGCAGGGCACTAGAGCAGCCTAAGGCAGCAACAGTTTTAATTATATTCTCACACTTCTCTCAGTCAGTAGTGAGCCAGGCAGTAGGAACTGACTGATATATGCATATATTGCACAGTAGGCAAAGGAACACTCTGGTCTTGAGCCAAAATCACCTTTCTTATATAAAACCCTCCTTTGACCGGCTTCTGGAGGTGCTCTGGGGTTTGTTTATCCAGCAGGTGTTGCTGGTGAGAATCCAGGCAGGTTAAAGCTTTCTAGTCCTGTGGTGAAGGCAAGGAGTAAATCAGAACTGCTGGATCTCCAGTGCCTTCCCAAAACCACTGCCAAGGGGCGAACAGCCCCTCATGCAAGGGCCACAACTGGCTGAGACAGAGCCACAAAATCCCTCAGCCTGGCGGCTGGATCCCACCATGCTCAGGAACACGCAGGGCACTAGGAAGGACCCAGACCACTGCTGGTATCAGCTTCTTGGGGCAGCAGCGTATTTGTGCTGCGAGACCTCAGGAAAATGAGATCAGACCAACCAGGTTCCGAGCGGCTTCGGAGGCACATGAGGAATGTGGTTTTCTGGTCGGAAGCTGGATGAGTCCTACAAAACATTTTCCATGAGTGCCGTGTCAGATTTTCAAATGAGCTCATTTTGGCCACCATTAGGCCTCTTTTGTCTTCACTTTCCACGAACGTTCAAGCAGTGGAGATTTACACCCATGAGCTCCTGCAGAAAGTGAATTTAAAGCTTGCATGCTTTGGTACTCACAGATTGACAATTAAAGAAGCCAGACTATGATCTAACTCTGCTATTTGTAACTCAGACCAAGTGAAAATAGGCAGAGATCCTGAATGTCAGGGAGTGTGGCAGAAAATCATGGAGCAACAAACACCATACACTTGCTGTATTTTCCACCTTAAAGTGGAGACAACTCAACAAGAGGACAGGATTCCCTAATTTATTTTTTTTTTTAACAGAGCAATGACACCACAGCAATTGAATGAGACAGATAAGGATCAGACTGCACCCTTCATAGTTAAGAACATGCAGGCACACTCTGCAAGGAGAGGAAATTAAATGCAAAATGCCACTGAGTAATAAATCTTAGAGTAGCTTGGTTTCTCTAGGAATGATGCTGCTGGCAAGACGTGTGAGATCCAGAAGTTTTCAAATCAAAGGTCGTTGCAGAAATTTTGATGGAACTGCACATTTCAATGGAATATGCAGTCCTTTCAAAATCAAAACACTTCGCAAAATTGGGTTTATTTGGACAAAATTTTATTCTGGAAGAGAAAATGGCAAGAAAGTTCTAACACTATTGGAACATTGTGTTTTGACATTTTTGGAAGAATTCTTTTCACTTTTGCACCTTGAAACTTTTTCCATTTTGATATTCAAAGTTGCTTTTGCCCTAGATTCTATACTAAAAGGGTATATTTTCAAATGTCATAATTTAACCAAAGTTCACAAAAGAGCAATTCTATGAGCTAAACAAAACATTTTGGCCAGCCTCAAACACTTCTTGTTTTTAATTTTCCTCCTTGGAGAATTTCAAAAGTTTCAAGTTTTGTTCCAAATGAAACCAGGTTTCAAAGTTCTGTAATGCTTGGCTAAGTGGAAATTCCACCTTCCACCCTGAACTACTACTGTAAGCCATCCAAACTTCACTAATGCTGTTTGCTGGATAATCCAGTCACACTCGCAGCCAGAGCGCTGCTTCCCAGGATAGAGGATCCACTCAACAGGCAGGTGTGCTCTGAGCTGTGCCCTGAGTCTTGGATGTCATGGAGTCACAGAGTGGTTTGGGTTGAAGAAACCCTAAAGCTCTTTGTTCCACCCCCTTGCCATGGGCAGGGACACCTTCCACTAACCCAGGGTGCTCCAAGCCCCGTCCAACCTGGCCTTGGACACTTCCAGGGATGGGGCAGCCACAGCTTCTCTGGGCAACTTGTGGGATGAGTTGGAGTGAAACACAACCTCTGCTGGGCCCTGGGACATGGGTGTGTGGGGCAGGGGACTCTTGTCTCATCAAGGAGTGGGGACCCAGCTCGCTTCATGTGCTGACCTTGGGATGAGGGAGGGCTCCTGGGTGCCAGCACTAAATGTATCACCACATTATCACAAATAATCTTCCTTGCAGAACAATTCCCACATGCTCTAGCTGCAGGACAAAGAAGCCCTTAAGGCAAGGAGGTATTTGTATAATGACTCTGCAAAAGCCAGGGGTTGGCCTTGGGGTTCAATGAGCCCACCTGCGTGCTTTCAGTGAAATCTGGGCCTGGAATGTGCTGCTCCCAAAGGAACAGCCCCTGATGGACAGACTGAAATAATACTCCGCTCTTTCCAAAGCATGATTTGTGATGACTGACCTCTGCCTGGTACAATCTTTAAATATGCTCCACCACATCCAGCTACTTACGGAGCGGAAGGTACACGTGGAGGAGAGTTAATGATGGAGATCTAATGGCACTGTACAACCAGCCCTGCAGACCATTCTCCCTCCAAGAGAAGCAATAAGAATGACTTGCAAAACACCCTGAACTAGAGAGGGCCTGACACAGTCACCTGCATTCCTGCTGCAGAGCACTTGCCCAAAGGGCAACCTCTTTCCAGCCTGGCTGCTGCTGCAGCCCTCTGCTACTCACTACAAGCAAAGGCAGCAGAAATCAGGCCCAAATAAATAACAATTCTTCACTTTTGGAGTTGGAGTAGAGGGAGTAAACAGCTCCCCTGAGGAATTCGTCTGGCAGATGTGAATGGTCAGCATTTCTTGGCACTCTGCTGCTTTGTGAAATTCGTGTTCAGCTCCTGGAATTCACTTAATTCATGGGCAAGGGCAGGACCCGGGGGCCAAAACACAGGTATTTCAGCCATGGCATTACCCCAGGGCACAGCCTTTCTCTGTCCTCTAGTTTTGTTCACGTTACACACCAGTATAATCAGTCACTCTCTCTCTCCTGGATTTTCCCACTGCCTTTGTGGCTCTCCTTTGACTTTGGCCTTTCTTGTCCCCCACCAAGTCTTTGCCCCCAGCTCTGTGACTCACCTTCTGCTTCCCGTGGGCTCCAGTGCCCCGAGGGATCGCAGGGCATCGGGGAAGAGGCGCTGAAGGCATATTGCACCAGGACTCTTCCTTCCGCACACAGATCACATGCTGATCCCACTTCTCTAGGAGGCCAGGAAAACAGGAAAACACACCAACTTAGTAACAGCTGAATGAGCTGCTTATTCAACTATATTAAAAGCAATAAGACTTAGAATTCAGGTCCACTTAACCCTCTTTTTCTCAAGGCACCGACAAGAGTGTTTTCTGATGCTGACCTTCTGCAGATTTCAGCTAAGAGCCCATGTAGACAGCATTTGTGTGCCCTCCATCCATCACAAAATGTCAGCAATCTGGGATATCACATTCACCTATATTTTTGCTTGCTTTTTTTCCCTCTGCACTAGATCAAACCCCGACAAAAGAAAATACATGCTGCTTAGTGTTTAGAGCAGAGAAACCAGCCTCAGGAGATTTCAGATCTATTTCTGCTCCCATCATGGATTTATTTATTGCTTAAACTTGTAGTACCTCTAGGATTGTGAGGGCTTTGGGCATTCTGATGGTTAGAGGAAAGGGTGAAGTCCCAGGCTCTGAAACCATCAGACAGAGCTGCTCTATGAAGCGCAGCTTTGCTAACTATGCAAGGACCTGCTCTTGGAGGTGTCTCACAGCCCTGATCATTACAAGCCTGGAAAAGGAGTGGGTTATGAACATATAGAATAGAATATGCCCTAATTTTTTTTTTTTTCCCAGGGGAAACAGGGGTCACAAAATTTGGAAACCTTGTCTGACCTAGAATGTGTGGCTATTCATCCCAGTAAGCTGCTTATTATTCAGAGTTCATTGCTCTGCTTTATGTAACACTTCCTGCTAAAAAGGAAAGTTAAAAATTAATTATCCTAATGATCAAATGCACCTAGGAAAGGACAAGTTTGAGGCAAACAATTTGTGTGTAACACAGTGTACTCTCTACATGACCCAAGGAAGTATGGATTGAGTCAATTACTGTAATAATTTATATCAACTATTACAATCAGCTATGCAAATTTTCGCCATCATAACCAGCACTGCATGATTTGTTTCAGCACTGCTTTGAAGAGGGCACTGTGATCCTCAGGCAGAAGTTATTTGGGATCCTCAGTGAGGACACCAGGATTGTAAATTTACTCTCCCAGCCCTCCCCAGGCGTGCCATCGCCTTTCCCTTTGGTGGTAGGGATGGCATACACTCAGCTGCTCCACAGCTTAGCATCTCCCATTTGTTGACAGGGATCCATTTGAAAGTCAGCTTTCTGTTGGCTTCATTAGGCAGAAGCAGGGATTGTCAAAGATGGGACTTGGAATGAAATGAGTGGTAAGACTCATACCCATTCCAGTGTGGCCACCCCCACAAGGAGACAGCAAATGGCTGTCTCAGGCAGAAGGGGATGCACCTGCTGAAAATACCTGAAGGATTAAATGTGACAATAAGGTAGAATAAAGAAGAGGGAGGCAAAGATGTCCTCCTCTTCCTTGTATCATCTGTAACGCTTTTAATAAAAAATTTGGGCTTGTCGTGAGCAATTTCTCTCCATGTCCCATTTTACCCACCTGCACTACTGGCATGACACTGCCTCTCTATTTCATTTCTCAGCTGTCTATTTAGCAGTGGTTTAAGTGTCTAACTCAGCTTGCCTGAATAATATATGCAAAAAAAAAAAAAAAAGAAACCAGAATAATAGGTAGTGAAAAATCAAGATGTAGAATTATTGTTGTGCAGTTATTTTTCAGACACATCCACCACCAGTCAGGATAGAAGTCCCTGCAACAATAACCTTTCTTCAGTTTCTCTACAAAGAGACTCCTGCATTAGCACTTGGTCCTGGATGAGGACAGGGCTCTGAAAGCCAAGTTTCCACAATTAGGACTGCTTTTCACTCAAATTAGCAGCTATACAATTTCATCACAGGCTGCCATGGTGGAAAAAACAGTAGGCTTATGGACAAACATTTCCTTTTACCAGTGAGGACTTGGAGGTAAGAGAAATCACAAGGAGCATCATGTGGGAAAGGCTATGAGCAAACTTTCTCTTTTTACTTTTCCAATTCAGGAGCCAGACTCAACCCTGATGTAACTACACTGGCTGAAAGGACTTACACGGGGGATGACTCCTGGGTTAAAGTTTTTGGTCTGCAGACTCTTGCACACAAATCCTACAAACAGCCATGAATTTCCAGCCTAATTATGGAATCACATTTACAGGCTTATGAAAATCTAAGCCTGATCCTTACACCTTATGCAGCCACGGACAACAAGGAAAAATGAGCATAAATTGGTTCAAAACACTATTAATTAGGAGTGATAGCATATCTGCCACCTTATACACCAGGGCACATGACTCCCCAAAGTGCAGGGTAATGGAAAATCTAGACTTCTCTGTTTTCTAATAAGCCAAGTAGTGGGGAAATTCCAGCTTATGAAGTTCAGAGCACAGGAGGAATTCATTCCTACAGCATGATATTTCAGTGAAGTGGATTCAAAATCTAAAGATTACTAGTGAAAAACAGACAATTTCCTTCAGGGCCAGCACCAGTTCAGTGGGCAACTCAAAACCACTAATTGCTTTGGGTAAAGAGTGCCTGTTTTTAGGCTAAATTGTAGCTGCTTACTTGAAATTCAGAATCAGTGCTCTCCCTTCTAAGGTACTGAAACTTTCCATCAAGGTTTAAGTGAGTGATTATCAAGCCCAGTCATCTCAATCTGGGACACCACACTGACCAAAATATTTGCTTGCTAAGAATGAGATAGCATCAGATTCATGGAAATTAATGCAGTCACCTCAATGAAAACTTGGAAGAGAAGATGCATTCAAAGTTTTCTGCCCAGGCAGAATTTGCTGCAGAGCCCTATTACAATAACTGTTTACATCTGCCTGTGCATATCAAACAGGAGAACAGTCAATGGACGAACACATCTAATGGATGCAGCCAGGAAATGAAGAGGCTTCTCTTTTTCTCACTTGTTTTCACTTGTTTCGTTGGCTCTGTTATTATTTTATTATTACATATTATTATATGTGCATGCAACATTTTTTCATGCTTTTTTGAAAGGGAGGATGGAGAATGGTAAGTATTCCAATCCCACGTGCAATAGCTACAAGAAGAAATGCTGGTTCTTGACATATTTGATTATTAGAGATGTTTGGAAGCTCAACCAGCTGCTGGACTTGAGGGTCAAAGCATGTTGGCAAATTTATGTGCAGGTGAACGACTCCCTAGAGTGAAAGAGCAAACATCAATTGAACACTCTAAAGAGGCAAGGAGGGCCTACCAGGAAGAAGATTTTACTGCTGTGCACAGCTCATGTATCTACTCTTGCCAAAGTGTGAGAACACAGGATAGCCAACCCCAAATTAACAGGAATCACGAGCCAACATTGCTCTCTGTCCCTAAATCCACATAATTAATCAATAGGACACCCTATGAGAAAAGCACCTAATGCACCTGTGGCAGAGTTGCACCTAACCATGAGAAAGGCACATGGTCTTTACTTCCATGCTTCCTCTCCCTTCAACCACAGACCTGTCAGGACCTCACACACACAGACACAGCCAGCCCAGTGCTGCATTTTTAAACAGAAGGCTAAATTTTCTCTCCCTGACTTTCATTAGGCAGAGGTCACTGCCTATGCACGGTTCTGGAGAATAAAAGAGACATAAAAGGAACTTGAGTTACGCCTACAGTAGCATTGTAATTTGGATCAGGAGCGAGCTGTTGAAGTGACACTCCTCCCCCTGCCCACTTACAGCACTTGGGTCGGTCCTGTGGCATGGAAGCTGGACCAGTTTTGGAGAAACCAGACTGGAGATGTGCTCCAGGACCACACCTGATGTGCTCCCACCACTGGTGCCATGGGGCACCAGGAACACCCCAGAACCCCTCCAGTGTTGACGTCAGGTCTTCATTAACCACTGTTTTGCACTGGAGATCTACTTGTATTGGGCCACAATACTTGCTAATGTAGCCAGAGCCATTCATGCTTTGAAGGCCCTTTTACACTGTCAAAACAGCAAGGAAGGGGCCTCTGTGCATTAGAAACCAGGCCCAAGGCACTCAGCAGCTGAGTATCAGTCTTCTGTTTTTTACATGAATAGTCCCATTGAGGTGAATGAGTTTATTCATTCAAGTGAGGCAAGTAAAATTTGGGCCATGGTGTGCACTTTGTGTAAAAATATCTGCAAAGATTTACAGTATTCCCACACACAGATAAGATTATACTTGGCCAATTTTACCTCCTACTTGTCTTGCACAGTGACCCAATTTCACAAATTGATACAGGCATGTGGCTCTAACCGAGCAGAGCTGGACACAACAGTACTGGAAGTTCAGCACGTGAGCCTTTCCAGGATTAGTCACTCCAATAATACTGTCATCCTTGTTTTGATTAACAGATCAAAAATTTGGGCATGTTTGAGACAGGATCATTTATATATTCCAGTGACATTTTTAAATGGTCACGGCAACATTTCTGTTTCCATCAGCAATGGGAATCTCATTTTAACAAGGAATTGGACTCAAAGTATTTGAGGCTGTCTCTTTAAATCTTTTCAGTAATACTGAGCACACAGATTTGAAAGCCCAAAGGAGGTGCTTTTTTTTTTTTTTTGTCCTGGAAAATCACTCTTTATTTAACATATGATAACTCTGTTATGAAATTTTAGATTTAGCAGGCTATCCGCTGTGTGTTATTTAAGAAGCAAGTAACTAGAGGTTATTAAGAACATATTGATTGAGTTATAAGAAATATGTAATAAAGGCATATTTGGTTACATAACAATTAACTCTGCATCAATGTGTTTTTAAGAGGCAGATGGCATTTATTTAACACACAAAAAGCATCTTCTGAAATCTAAATTAAATTGGAGAAATTTAATTTGCCTAAAAATGATTACGGGCTAAAAAAATTCTGAATTAATTTTCAGAACTTCACAAAAGTCCTTCTCACAGGTCAGGAATAAAAGGATTCAGTTACAAAACTTCAATTAAAGCAAACACTGCTCAGAGCACAAGACCTGTCTTTATTGATTCCTATTAGGGTTTGATTACCCTCCCCATATCAATCTGCAATAAAGGTGGAAAATCTCATCTGAACAGGAAAGAACAGCTCTCTGCCCTGTGGGATAAAGTGTAAGCTGGGCACTGAAATGGCCAGGGTGTCCTGGCAGTGCTGGAAGGAGTTTCATCCCTGATGGAGGCTTTCAAGGTGCTCTCCCAGCACAAAGCAGCAGTGCTGAGGCAGCTCTTTGGGTGTTAATACGCTTGTAAATTCGGCCTCCTGTGCTCTGAACTGCCTGGCTCCTGAAGGACACTCCAAGTTTGCTCTCTATAAAACAACAAAGCAGAAGGTGGAGAAGAAATGCAAACAGGGGAGGTGAGCTAATGGTAATGCGAGAAGGTCAATCATTTAGGAAGTTCTCTGCCAGGACTCCACAGCTCCTGCAGCTCATCCTAGAGCTGTGTAAGAGCACTTAGGTGAACTGCCCAGTTGCTCAGCTCATCCTGGGGCAGAGCTGCTCTGGCTGTGGGCTGCACTGTGCTGCAACTCCTGTCCAGAGCCCAACATTCACCTAATTTTTAATTACTGATATCACATATTGCATGTCTATAAGACATAAACACACATACACCCCTGCTCTGACCTACAAGATGGAACTCATGATATTCAGGGGGGTCTTTGATATTTGAGTCTTTGATTCTGCCTTGCACAATTCCCGTCTCAGACCCAGAGCTCAGGGAAGGAGGGAGCATCTGTCCCCATCCCCAGCCCAGCCACCTCCTTGCCCTGTGAGACTCCACAGCTCATGAGCTCTGTGTTGTCACAGGAGCAGAAACAAGATCCACTTTGTCCTTGCCAAGGAAACATGCGAGAGGAGGAGGGGGGGGGGAACATGCAGGCAGAGCCGAAGCCCACAGGTATTTGTGAGCAGCAGGAATCACAGGGCTGGAATCTTTGATTGAAAATTCCTCCCGTAACATATGGAGAAAGATTTGCCCTTTCCATGGCAAATCAATGGCCTTCAACTGAGTGCTACAGGCTGAGAAAGGAAGAGCAGACAACAGATCAATAACCTCCTCAGTACGAACCAATTTAGGAAAGAGCCCGAAGACTGAGCAGAGCACATGATCAAGCTGTGATCCCGGAGCAGGGTCCCTATTTCTCCCTTTCCCATCAAATTCAGCACGAGAGTACAGATCAGTGAGTGATCACCTTTCAAAGAAGTGGCCATCGATGGGTGGAAACCACTCCAGGGTGACGGCGGTGGAGGTCCGAGCCACGATCTGGGGGGCAATGGCAACAGGAGCTGGTTTCTTGGTGGGCTGCCAGCTCTGGTAGACGAGGTCCAGGTAGCAGTGCATCCTGGCCACTTGGTTGGGAGTGAAGGAGTCAGTGCAGTCATCGTCTGGAATTAAAACAGAAGCCACATTAGCCATGTGGGAGAGGAGGCGGGAGCAAGAGAATTACGACCTGGTGAACAGCAGCTTCTTGCAAGGGCCAGGATGGGCTCTCAAAGCACTCAAAAGTTAATGGTCTGTGAACAAATTAGCACAGCCATCACTTGTGAAGGCAGGGAAAGGAAACAGAGGTTTAAAAGGAAAAAAAAAAAATTAAGTTGTTTAACGTTCCCTCCCTCTGACCTGGGATACACCTGAAGCACCTAAAGATCATCCCTAGATGAGACAGAGACACGTGGAGGTGAAGGAACAGAAAGCCTCAGTGCAGCACCTTCTGGCCAGAATTGGGGCTATCAGTGGACCTCTGGGTTTAAAAGAATTTAACATCTAAAAGAATGTCTCTGAGAAAGGAGGAAAGAGCAAAGGATGGCTGGTGTCAGGATAACGCACTGACTGGGATTCATGCAAACTGTAGGTGACAAGCTTTTTCAGATTTCTTAGATTAAAACACCACAGAACTTTAAAAATACAAAAATTTTAAAATTCTTAAATTTTCTAATGAACAAATAAAAATGTTCTGAAAGATCAATTTAGAACTACAAGCAATCATTGCAAACACTGATTAAAATGTAAATTCTAGGTGCAGTTATATAACTGAACCTGAGATTAGCTCAGATGTTTAGGGTCTGTTGCTAATAATGCCAAGGCTGCAGGTTCATTTCTTGTATGAGTTGTTCACTTACGAGTTGGACTTGAAGATCTTTGTGGGTCCCTTCCAACTCAGAATATTCTGTAAACTTTAGTTCTATGAAGACTCTCTCCAATTACCACTATGATTCTAATGCCTTTCTGAACTTTTAACAGAAGTTTTTTGATATTTCACGTTTCTTTTTCATTCAAAATGAAGAAATAACTTTGCTGGATGATTTCCCATAAATACCCATTTCTCATTTCATCTTGTTTTCCTTCAAACATGATTTGGCAACAAGAACACATCGAGTGCCCTCTGAACACCATACAACTTTACAACTACAATGCCCCAGAGAAGGAGAAAATTGCTGTTTCTCTATTGTGCAGATCACAGAGGGAATAAATACGTTGTGCAAAGTCACCCAGAAAAGCTACACTGAGGAACTTGATGTTAGCACTTCAACCATTTCTCTGGTACTTTTCCCATCAGATGCAAAGCCCTTAAAAACACAGAGTGTTTCTTCACATGTGCCTGCAGAGCTCCCAGCTCGGCCCAGCTCGGTCCCAACTGGGACCTGTGCACGCTGCTCTGACACAAACAATGACAGCTCTGCACAAGTCAACTTCTGCACTTCTCTGGGAAGATGCAGGTCACCAAAAGCTGCTCAGGGACACTGGAGGTTCAGTGTTGTCACAGAGTCACGGGATGCTCTGATGTTCTGAAGTCTGTGTGGTGGCACTCCAGAGGAACAACAAAAATTATGAATTTGTTCTAAGGAGAAGTGTGTATTTGATGGGTAATTTTAAAACCTGACCACACCTTCCCAGAGATGCAAGCAAAAGGAGACAGGTCCAGTTGGGATTCTGCCCCAAAAGCAGCCCCCACCCGCAGCAAGGACACACCAGTTCATGTGTTCTCCTCCATCTCTCCCAGTTCCACTGAGCAGGGACTCTCCTCTGATCAAACATGAACAGACAGACAGACATCACCCACTTGACAACGTCTACAGCTCCCTGAGGGTATGCAAAAAGCTGCTTTAATATGACACCTCTGCATTTCCTCAATAATTATCGATGCTCTACCCCTGAGAGCGCTGTGAAAGCCATAAATATTCTTCACAGAAGCACAGAAGGGGACAAAGGCCCTTAATAGCCATCATAAAGGAACAGTAAAATATATACAGGACAAAGCAGTGAAACAATGGTACAGGAGAAAGATGACCTGCGTTCCCAATGTGTTTAAACATCAGCACAGACTGTGTCTTGGGGGTGGGGAAGGGAGAAGAGGAAAGGAGAGGGAGAAAGGTGTTTCACTGTATATCAAGAAAGGCTCCAGATCCTCAGATAAAGTAATAATTAGAGAAATTCAAGACTTTGCTGGAATGATTATTCCAACAGAATTCAGAGGCAGAATTTCTAATGATTTCATGAGAAGTTGTCTAAAAGACCAACTTATCTTTTATTCGGGAACAGCACTGATATTTGGACTTGTAAAAACAATTTACAAGTCCTGTTTCTCACACTACTTAATCTTCTGGAGATCGTAACTTGATATTCCAGGGAAATAAAAGTTACCCATTAAGTCAGTGCTTTGCTCAGAGCTGGGGGTAACTGGACAGATGTCAGACAGGGACAGACAGACAAACACAAGATGATCAACCTGTACATGAGCAGCAAAACAGAAAGGGAAAAAAAAAAAAGCAATTCTTAGAGCTGCATGACCTCAACCTACATGTTTCAAAGGTATTTCCACAGCAATTTGATATCCTGATATATTTTACTCCACTGGCAACAACAGAAAAGCAAACAGATTCATGCATGAGCTCTAGAGATATCTATCATGTTGCTTCACTTAATTTTTCAAGGGAAAAGAAAAAAAAAAAAAAAAGGGTTTCAGCTCAGAACACTGGCACACATGGAGCTCCCAGGAGCAGACAGGTATCTCTGTGGTTTGCCTCCTTCTCAGCTCTCGAGTCAATTGGTAAGTTCTCTTTGGAAGGGGAGAGCTCAGTGTTTGGGACAGCACGCTCCACCCCTTGTCACATCCACACAGCACGTTTTGTGGATGTTGTCCTCTGAAGTGGCCCTGACTTAGCTGTGTGGTGTTACAGGAGGCTGTACCAGGCAGTCAGGCTGCCTGCCCTACCACAGGCACCACAGCTGAGGAGCTGACTCAGTGTGTTTGTCCCTGAAAACACCCTCTAAACAAATAGAAGAATAAAGAGAAAACTAAGCATCACTTTTAGCTGGTGCCACAAAGGGCGTAAAAGCATTTCTGTTATAAATCATTTCAATGCGTGCCCCAGATGACATTAAACACTTTGCTTCTCTACAGTTTTATTACAGAATAAGCACTCCTGTGACCTTTTGAGTGGGCAATCTGTGTTTTTGCCTGGAGTATAAAGGTGCCCTTCAGTGTCTGTAAGTATATTGCCTTCAAAATGTTGTTGATGCTGCCAGCTTGCTGTCACAGACCTTCACCACAGTGAGACTGACTCAAAATAAAGGGAAATACGAGTCAAGGTATCCCCTGTTCTTTCTGGGAAATAACAGAGGATTCCTCAACTCCCCTTGCTCTTCCAGGGGTGAAGCAACGACCTCACCCCAGACACCTGCACAGTTATAACCACAACATCAGTTTTTGCACAAGGGGCTTGCTCTTCTCAGTGGGGTGGATCTACCACATTTATACACAGCCCTTGTGATTGCATTACCAGTACAAATCACCACAGCACACTGGTAGTCCTTTGCCAGGAAGAATCCCACTATTCATACCCTAATGATGAAAACTCAGACGTGAGTGATTCTGATCGAGCAACAGCGACTCCAAATCAAACCTAAAAACGTGGCATTTCAACAAGACACCTGCAGGCCTGAGCAGTGCCACATTAGTTGTCCATCTATCACAGGTTTATCCTACAGCCTTGGTGGTATCAATATTCATCTGACATTCGATATCCCCTTGGGAGAGGATAAACAATCTCTGAAGTTGGATTTTTCAAGGAAGACCTCATAGATCAGGCATCCAGATCCCAGGGAAATAGGGTGTCAGATTTGCTGTAGAGCCTTTAGAAGCTGTTTTTCTTAATGCTTATCTCATTTCTTCCCTTCCCCCAAACCTTCTGCCTGGTCTTCACATGAAACTACACAAAGTTGGGGAAAACCGGGAAAAAAAGAAAAGGAGAAGCGGAAGGGATTCCTGAGGCCATCAAACCTGGTCCAAGACCTATGGACACACATGTCAGCATAAAGCCCCACACGAAATGACTGCAGAAATGAGAGGAAATACTGCAACCACAGATCCCCCCCCCAACAAGGCAAGGACCCCCCCCCGTACCTGCGTAGCTCATGAAGTTACTGAAGGGCGTGTTTAGGAAACTGTGAAAACCACAGGTGTCATTGCCAGGTCCGGGATCCCCACACAGCTTGTGCTTGGGAGCAGGGTTGGTGTCACTGCAGAGGTCCCCAGTCTCGAAGGAGGGCTCGGTTTCCATGCACGGGTCGCTGCAGGAGAGGATCTCCGAGATTCCCCGGAAGACGTGATAGAGCCCAAGGCTGTGCCCGATTTCGTGGATCATTGTGTGAGTGTGGCCAGGGATTCCATAGAAGGAGGGATTCAGCACAATGCCACCTGCAAGGGGAAAAGAGAACAGCTTCTAGGTTTGCCTTGTCCCCCTTGGAACAGCAAGAGAAAGGGAAAGGAAGACAATTCCAAGGGCAGATCCACTGGCAGTTCATCGGATCCTCTGTAGCACAGACAACCTTTTGCAGGTTGCCTGCACACAAAGGTTTAATCTCACCCTTTATCTGGAGCTCTAAGGATGGGGATTCATGGGGCAAAGCCCAGTGTCCTAAACCAAAAACACAGTGACAATCAGTTCTTTCAACTGAATATCCTCAGTTTGGATTTTTATTAACTTTGAGGGAAATCCTGCATGAAATTACTTCCTACTGTGCCATTTCAAATAACTTCATGCGCTTAAAGAATGCAACTCTGCTCAGATAAGTGTAAGCAACATATTTGATAGCAGGAGCACTCTCTGTATATTATTCCACGGGGCAAAGATATGAGAGAAGTCTACAAATAACTGAGACACCCTGAAAACTGCAGAAGTTTGCACCAATATTTGCAAACTAATAGCTGGACAAAGACAACAGGGTGAACCCAGGGCTGGGACAGCGTTTGCAGGGTGTTGTGTAGAGAGCTCTGAATTAACTGTCAGAAACACACTCTGCTCATATACTCGGAAAAGCCTGGTTTGATCTGAGCTGAACAGTCCCCTGACAAATACACATAAGTCTAATGTGTAAAAAAAAAAAAAAAAAAAAGAAATCCTGAAATGTGGTAATTCTGAAAAACCTGCAAGGTTGTTAAATGTCTGCAAAAAAAAACAACGGGGGTTGTTTTGTTGTATGAATTATGGGATGTGTAACTAAGCAAATGGTAATTAGTGAGGCTCTACAGTATATTGAATTAATCATATGAACTGTATCTTTAGCTCAGTTAGTTCTACCTTTGGAGTTAAGATTTACTTCCTTTTTTCTTTATTTAGTTTTTCAACCTCAACTTTTTCAAGCCTTTTTACTTAAAACTGTTGGTGTGTATATTGCCTACCATGAGAAGAGGAGACTGCTTTGTGAAAGTTATAGTGGGATATAAATCCTGGGCATGGTACACTAATAATTTAGCAGCAATGAGGAGAGAAAAGGTTTTGGCAGGAGAACCTTTATCAGTGACTGTAGTGCAGGGAAGATGAGATCACCATGTTCTGATGCACCATAGACTCTTCATTCTTATCTGCCTGGAGATTTAGTTGTAATAACCGTGAAATTAGAGGAAAATAAGACCATGAAGATCTTAAAAAGTCATCTAAATTCCACTCTCCAGCAACACAGGACCAATTAGGTCTATAGGATCCCTCACACACACTGGTCTAACACCTCTTTACAACCCCTGACTGCCCCAGCAATCAGTGTCAGCACTCAGTATCCTTATGGCTGCAAGGATTTAACTCACATCTAATCTGAATTGATTTTTTGGCAATTTTAAGTTCATGACTTCAGGTCCTGCCTCACAAGGATATGAAGAACAGAAGATCCTCCTCCCCTTTCATCAGCTTTTATGAGATTGTCATCACCCCCACTTTAGGCTCTTTTCCTTCAGTCTGAGTAACTGTAATCCCTTCCACCTTTCCTTGTAGCTCAACCCTTCTTCCAGACCTCCCTGGCTGGTTCTCCTTTGATTTTTCCAGTTGTCTCATGTTTTCCTCCACGAACAGTGTCCAAACACAAACCCTACTCCAGATGAAATTTTATCAGTGCTGAAGGGAGAGGAAGGAGCACTTTGGATGTCCTGAAGGGACACACACATGTGTTTATGTGCAAGAGAGAAAACATTTTCCCTTTGAGCACAGACACGCGGCAGAGGTGAGTCCCATGGGCATGTACTGCTAAATAATATACAGTATTAAGAAAACAAACAAACAAACAAACAAACCAGAAAATGTAAATATGTACAAAAAAGAGTGAATAAAACCTATCATGCTGCAACATCATGTCTATTATGCCACACGTAGCATCTGCACATCCTTTTCACAGCACTGAACTGCTCCTTGCACTAGTTCTCCACATTCCCAATTAATTACACACAAATCCACCAGGATGCAACCCTACAATGTTCCCATGTTCCCTGCATCCCTCTCTCTCCCTTCATATAATACATGCTCTAATTCTCTATCCAGGTGGAACCATTTTCACCCAGAGAGTATCCTGGCACATTTTCTGGAGGTCTCTATCCCAAAGATAATTCCAGAGTTAGTCTCCCAGTGACAGGAGTACTGGTGAAATTCCAGCAGGATGTGCCTTTCAATAAAGGCTGGGTAAATAGTTCTGGCACTGGAGAACCCTGAGGCAGCTGGAGAGGGAGATTTTATTTTTGCCTTTGTTGAAAATTTATATTTTTCACAGCTGTCAAGAATCTAAATCAATTGCAGTTTTACAGAAAAGATAAACTCCCTCACCCAGACAATCTCTATCCCAGCCTTTAGATCTGCACCACAGGACATATTTCATATTTTTTATTAAGTACATATTGGATTTATAGAAGAGAGTAAAAAAGATTAAAGATGAATTCTTACAAACCAAGCACAGGTCTGGGAGGGCTATTATGACAGGAAATTATGAGCATTATTTATTTATTTTTTTACTTGTGTTTTTTATTTTATTTTATTTTTTTTTTCCCCACAGCAAGTCAACTTTAATCTGTTGTCTAATTTTTTTTTTTTTTTTTTTTGGTCAATGAACTCTGTCAATACACTGTAGGAGCTGAATTTAAATTGTTTTGCTTGGGCATGATGTTGACAATTAGCTTAACGAAGTGACAGAAGAACTCATCAGGGCTTTGGGCGAGCCCCAGCCCTCTTGCAGAAGGTTCTTCTTGGCGCTCTGGAGCTCTCCCCTTGTTCTCTCCTCCCTCCCATGGCAACACCAAGGGAAGCTGTGAAAATACTCATTTAGGGAAGGATCAGCTCTGTTGCAGCCATATTCCACTTTGGGCTAATGTTTCCCACCAGCAGCAGCCCACACTGTTGCACAACCAGAGGCAGAGTTACTACGGGGCTTAGTGCTGGAGCAGGGGGTTGTAGTGCTCCAAAGAGACAGGAATCACATCACTGTGGGTGCTGGGCAAGGCTGGGGTTAAGATCTATCTTTGTTTTTGCCAGATGTTGCCTTGGGGAGTCCTCACTGGTGGGCATTTACAGAACCTTCTGGTTTGGGTGCTGGCAGCAGGAGCCCACGGAGATGGGGCTGTAGGCAAGGCAGGGTGGAAGTGGCTTCATTTCCAGCTGAGCTCAGCAGGAGACTGGATGTGTGTCACTGCCAGGCCTTGGGAAGGGAAGTTTGCTCACACTTCTTCCAGAGCAGCTGCAGAGCTGGATGTTGTAATAAAACATTGACTAACTGAAGGAAGGCAGCCAGTTCCAACTGCTTGGTCTGACCATGGAGCCTCTCTCTGCTATGGAGACAGGAGACTATTAAGACATGTTAGCATCCAGGTTTGGGGGTATTTCTGAGCAAGGAAAAGCCTCTCTGACTGATGGCTACAGCTCAACGCTCATTTACTATCTCAGGATAATAAACACTGTATTTTGCTCTCCTCATTTAAGTGTATATTCATCATATCTTCTTTCATTTAGCTCAACATGGGGTTGGGTAATATAAAAACTGGCTGAAACAGCCTTTCACAAAGACTTAAATTGGCTGAAACTGGACTTCTCTTCCAGTCTAGGAAGGTTTGGACAAGCTGGAGAAATATCTGGAAAACCTCTTGAGAATTCCTGCTCAGGGAAGATGACCAGATCAGGTTTGCAACCCGAGGTGGAGGGGGGTTTGTGCAGTTAAGAGAAGCACACACAGACTCAGTCAGTGCCTTCTGAACCTTTTGAGGCTCATCTGACATTTTGCAAGGAGCACGGGTCCAGTGGCACTGCAGGTGGCAATGAGTCACTGGGGAGGCTGCGGAGCTTTGTCTGGATCCCTGGGTTCCAGCAGCCACACTCAGCAACCTGGTTATGAAACACTCAGGGCAGTCTGCAGGGTGGTGAACTCCTTCCAGTTCCACTCAAATGAGCATTAGAAACACAATCTCTCAGCAGTTTGCTCTTTTGCACATTGGTGGAGAAAAACAGCAGCAGGTTTTAAGGACAGTTTGTGAGGAAAGTTAATTGAATACTTGGTAATGAGCTAAGGATCAGAACGGGACAGGCTGAGGTTAAAGATTCACCTCTGTCTGGCATCCCCACACCTATCCCCCAATCCTCTTCACAAACTGCTCCCATGGAGTGAATGCCCTGTAAAGTAGCTTTACTTAAAAGGTGAAATACTTTCAGCTTGACATCATCTACAAATACCATAATATGCTTTGGGTTTATAACCTAATATTTTCCTGGTTCTGAGCCAGTATCTGGGAATCGTGAAATACTTTTTTTCCCCTGACTATATATTAGAGGAATGATAAGAAATCAGAACATATTTGTCTTTCCTTCTTAGTGCCTCAAAAGAATGCTTTACAAAGAAGAAACATCTTTATCACTCACCTAGATGCATCAAGGCTTCTTTGTCCCAGGGCCAAGTTGCCACTCCAGCCAGCTCTTCCTCAGAGGAGTTGGCAAAGAAGATGTTGAGGTGTGTGGATCCATCCAGTTTGAGTATGTTCTTTAGTTCATTGACATCTAAGTATGCCCTGTAGAAAAAGAAAAGCACTTTTTTTTCCTAAAGGTGACACAAAAGCAACAAAATATTGAAGAACTGCTGCAATCCAGGCAAAGATCTTATAACATCCTCCATATCAATCACCTGAAATGTTTTAATAACCCACTCCCAAACTTCGATTACTTTGCATTCACATAGTGAATCTCATCTAACACTTCAGGCCATTGATTAACTAAGGCCACAAAATCCAAGGTAAATACATAAAGCTGTCCACATTCTCAAGATAAGTCTAGGAATCTATTTATTATGAATGTAATTAACCCAGTATTATGGTCAGTAAATCTTTTTACACCAGCAGTTACCTTGCACACTTCCTCTGAGCTGTTTGTTATTGTTACCCCTAATTTTCCTTCACAACAACAAGTTTCAAATCCTCAGGTTGAGACAAAAACTTTGGCACCAGCGGCAGTCACTTGTGCCGAGATGGACATGGTCTAACCCTGACATCCCATGGATGGTTGGGAATTGCTATTTCCAGCCAATAAAGTTGTGCCAAGATGTTTCCTGGTAAGAGGAATGGTACTGTACCATGAAATAAAGGTCCCCCAAGGTGAGTAGCATTTCTTCTACGCTTTTGGGATGCCTGGAGGTTACAGAGCAATTTGCTCCCAGGCAAACAAAGCAAATCCCTTAATCTTGATGCCTGTTGGAAGCACTTTGTTCACTCCTTTAAAGGAGTAGACTTTGTCAATACTGGAATACAGGAGCTACTTGCCAGTGTGTAGACCATGGTGCCACGCTGCTTTCAGTGGCACCCCGATGGTCTAACTCACAGTAAAGCTGGAGAAAGCAAAACATAAGAGTAAACCCAATGGTTCTCTGTTTCTAGCTCACACTGCCTTTTGATATGAGGTGTGGTGATAAAAGAATAGCTAAGAGGGTTACCTTGTTCTATATTCAAGTGGAAATAACAGAGAGACATCACACTGAGCCAAGCACAGATGAACACTCATAAGGAAAGGATACCACGATGGCACTGAGCAGGTTGATTCCTGCTTCCCCAAGTCCCCCTTTCTGTTTGTGTTTGGTGTGAGTAGGGCTCACGTAGCTCTCACAAGCCACACACTCTCACAAGCACCAAATAGGCTTCCCTGCATACTTAGGAAGGCTTTTGTTCCCAGAAGGGTGAAGAAAAAAATAGGGGAGTTGGCTCAGCACCAAGATCTTTCTGTCCTTCCCTGGAGGACTCCCCAATGGAAAACACATTCGTATTTCCACAATAGCTTCCCCTGCCACTTGCTGAAGTCATTGACTCCAAAATAGATCATGGCTGGGTGTCCCCAGGCCCTCGCTGACTCATGGAGGAAGACGTGCTCTTTGGGGACACCAGTGGAAGGAGATGTTTCCATTCCATACAGTGTTTATCCTCCAATCCAGTGCGGGTGACATTCTGAAGGACAGGTCAGCACTGTGACCCTTTACACATTTCTCATCTCTTCCATGCTCCCAACACATCCACGGAAAACACACAGACCTTCCCCTTTGCTGCTCAAGTGCGTCCTGCATTGATCTGCACAACGCTCTGAAACTCTGTAAAATCTACTTCCAGGATCTTCTTGGTGCCTTTGAAAACATCTCCAAACATGGGCTCAGACACATCCACGAGCAACAGTTTGAAATTATGTGGGACAGCATCTCCAAATGTCAAAGTAAGGGCACTGGAGGAATCCGTGACAGGGGGTGCATGCAGGGGAAGGCCACAGTGTGTGCACCTGCACCTATGGAAGCATCGGTGAAAGACAGTGAGCAAAAGTGCAAGGGAAGATGTGGGAAGAGAGAGAAGTGCAGAAACAGAAGCACTGAGTGTGTCTGAGTGGAACAACGTTTGTGTGTTTGTATCTCAGTGGGAAGGGAAGTCCTGCTGCCCGTGCTGAGACGGCGGCTGTTGACTCTGGATGCAGATGCTTTATGTGTATGCAAATCCCTGCAGGAGTAACTACAACCCAACTCCCCTCCTGAGATTACCATTTTTATCCTCGCTCATTCAAATAATCTAAACTAATATTTCTTTATTCTCAGCTGTCGCTTTGCTTATCGTTTACACAGTCCCATCCCCATTTATCTCAGTGCACAGTCACAATGACTCTCCCACTTGCATACAGCCCATGTGCTTCAGCACCTAGGGCTGTTTTGTACATGGATTATTAATGCAGAAAACATCCAGAGCAGACAGCATTTAACTCATTGGCCACTGATGTCAATGCTTCACTGAGACTGGGCTCAAGCCTTATGTAAATCCACCGTACCAAGTCTTGGACTTGGGTTTATAGCATTTCTCTGACCACTACTTCTCTGCCAGTCAAGGGAAGGCTGTGAGCGAGCGAAATATATTCAAGGGGTGGAAGAACAGAATGCTAAGAGGATTTTTTTAGCAAAGCATCTGCACGGGAGGAGGTGGAAATAGATCATGTTTGTAAGGAAGCAAATGCTTTACAAACCCCTTTGTAAAAGCAGTCAGCAACCCCTAACACGTAAACATGCTCAAGCCCTCAGCTCAGGCAAATCCCTTGTAAGTGTGTGAACATGTGCCTGCATGTGCAGGAACAGAGGTGTGAGTGTGTAAGTGAGGACTTGGACTGTGCACACGCACGAGGCAGCCAAGAGCATGTAAGGCACCAGCGTGCGTGTGTGTGAGATAAAAACATGAGCTGGAATTCCATCCTCTCCTTCCTCCCCATGTTTCTAATAACCTCCCATCCCTATCCATCATCGCCACATTCCTACACTCAAGGAGGTATAAATTAACTACTTTTGCAGTTCATGTCCAACTCCGTAGCCGCAGGCAGCAGACCCAACAGTTACCAGGTCAAAATAGTTTTCAGTTATTGCTTTGGACTGGGCTGACTCCCCCCTGCTGCCTCGGCTGCTTTGTTATCAGCCCAGACTATCTGACCCAACGCAATCTGTGAGCGCTGCTTACACTTCTCAAGGTTATGTGGGTCCCCTGATAGAGGACATAATGTCTGTCACATGGGCTCGTGCCAAAGGGAGCCAAAGAGCCCAGCCTCTCCAGCACTGCCAAACTCACATTTCAAAGACGTGAGTGCAGTCTTGGAAAGGGATCAAAGCCCTTCCAACTGTCATTAGAATATTTCCTTTATGCCTCTCCCCGTGAGTGCCAGCAACATATTTCATAAAATTCATTGGCTCGAGATGGTACCTCCAATATAAACCTGAATGGGGGAACTGTCAGGGCAAGCCTATGTGGAAAACAAAACAAAACCCAAAGCACAACAAAACACGTGTAATTCCTGTAATGGAAAAAACATACGATGCTGTGAGCATGCCTTGCTCCAGAAAGCCTAATGAGCCTATTAGTGCATCATAAAAGGTCTCCTTTGCTGGAATCTGTTTTAGACATGGGCTGTTTAAGGCCATTTGGGATACCAAATCATATCAGGGAATGTGCACATTCCCACACAGATCTTTTCATCGACTTATTTGTCCAATGCACGGCTTTGGTTTGCTTTTTTCCTCCGCTGCAGTGTAAATAGCCCTCTGAAACTGTTCTGAGCAGCAGCTCACCCCTATCCAGCAAGCCCCAGCCCTGGATCAGCGATTGTGTCCCACACAGCGCTCCAGTTTCAGTCTAATGGAGTCCTTAGCTCATCCAGCAGCATCTCTCGGTGGCCCTACCCACCCGATCAGTCACACCAGCCATTACCCCTGTGCCTGGCTCATCTGTCAAACCCATTTCCTGTCCATTTGGGATGTGACAGGTCCCCAGGCAACGAGGTGAAGCCTGTGGGCCACCAGCCCCACCAGCCCATGGGAGCCACTGTGAGGAGCTCCCTTTGCAGCACCTCAGCTCCAAAGCCAAACCCAGCCACAAACCTCTGCTCTGAGCTACAAACACACTGGGCAATGGCTTTTAAACTCAGTTCTAATCATATTAAATCTGGCCTTGGTGACGAGAGTCGAGCAGTTTTGTTACTGGGTTGAAAACTCTTCCTCTTTCTTTTCTATCAGGTCAGAGAGTGGCTTCCCCATCTTTCCCTGATGGGATTGGGGTGCAGCCTCTTGTACTAGTGGTTGTTTTTGCAAGGAACACAGAGCCTTCCAGCCCTTACTGTTAGGAAACAGTTTTCTGCTGTTTGCTCTGAGTTATTCTCTATTTGACTTTGTTTCAGTTTTTTTTTTCTTTCAAAGACAGAAAGAAAACAAACAGGGTACTTAAGGGATTATTTGCAAGACCCCATCCAAATACAGAATAGGAACTTTGCTATCTGCTCATTATGCAGTATGGTCTCCAACTGCCTGATGAGTCTGTTAGGAATAGAAAGCACCATATTTCATCCTTAAAAAAACCCAAACAACAACAACCAAACCCAAGAGCATCTCCTGAACTGGGAAGTCAGCCTCAAAAGGTCTCCATTTTCAATGTTGACACACAATGTCCTACCCTTTACCTCTAGTGGTTTAAGCATATGGCAGGACAGAGTAAGTCTGCTGGAATTGTAGGGATCCAATGCATCACTCTTCTTCCCAAGATTCCTTGTTTCTGCTCTCACAAGAGCTGTCAGCCCAGCCTAAACCACGGTGCAACTTAGCAGACAAGCAGAAAGCTTTTTGAGACAGCCTTGCAACACTTTGCCAGCAACCTGTGACAAATCCACGTGAGATTCCCAGCACGGTGTGGCTGCAGGTCTGGGTGTTCCCTTTGTCCCTTCAGCTCTCATCCTGGACCCCAGGATTGACACCAGTTCCTCAGAGGAGCAAAGAGCACAGCAGCCAGTGTGTGGACAGGCACCCACCAAGTGTCTGTCCTGGTCTGTCCTGTCCAAGATTTTAGGGTGCAGTGTCCACACAGAGATTTTCAGTATCTGCAGTGAACAGCAAGGAATGGCTTTGAGATAAATTATGTTCTTCCTGAAGATAATGGCAAGAGCCACGACTGCAGCAGCACTGAAAGCTGACCTTGAAATGGGGCCATTTGGCAGATGTGCTCAATTGTAATTTAGCTTTTCCCCC